TCCTGCTACTCTCTGTGATCTAGATTTCCTTGCTACTAACACACCTGGAAAAAGAAATATTTCTGTGCCACTAACTAAACCAAATGCTTTGCAGTGAGAGTGACTGGTCATCTGGTTTCAACTAGAACAGCATTTTCCTTCTGATGCTCACAGAAACCAACTTGCACTCCTGTGCTACCTCACCCTGCCTTTACTTGCAATCAGCACACGGGCACAACCTGAACAGGAGAGTTCTGGAGTAACATGGGAAATATGTTCTTGTAACAGTTATCACCAAGGCGAATGCCATGGGACAGATCAACATGGGCAATGGCATTATCTGGTGGCTGGGCTAGAGAGCCCCAGGGATGGCTCAGGTGGCCGAGGGGAGGGAGGCTTCCCTTGAGCAATGGGCCCTCTCCAGAGGGACAGCCAGGGCAGTGCTGGAAGGAAGTTCTGGATCAGCTTGGTCTCCACATTAGACATTTCCGACCCGCTCAGCGCAGGAAGTTGTTCCTGTGGCTCACCTGAGGGAGTTCCTGTTATGAAGCCAGAGGGTGGTAGGTTGAAACAGCTTCTGAGAGTGATGTCATCTTGGACAGCACTCCCTAGGCAGTGATACTTGTGACCTGGTTACAACCTGCAGTGTTGTTACAGCCCCTCTGCTGGCCTGGTGATCACAAGAAAGGGAAGAAAGAAAAAAAGAGGGGAGTGGAATAATTTAGAAAGGAAAAAAAAAAAAAGTTTCCAGATTTCCTTTGTTTAAGCAAAGCACTTTCCTTTTCCACTTTATTTGAATACACCAACCTGGTGTCTAACAGATGGAGACTGTGCAGATGCACTTTGGGAGTGCCCATAAAATACACTGCTAAAATACAAACAGAGGGATACTTTTTTTTTTTTTTGAGTTGTAAATTCAATAATCATTGCTGTCACCTCACTTTCCCAGAGGAATTTGCCCTTTGTTCTCCAGATGAAGCTGGGGAGAGGAATAAAAAGAAAAAAAAAAAAAAAAGAAAAAAGGAAAAAAAAAAAGAGCAAGTGCAAAGGGGACATTTAAGAAAAAACCCCAGGTACATAATCTGTAGAAGCATCACAGTGTACAGCATTTGTATGTCAGGAACCCATACAAGCATGGCTGCCCAGCAGCAACAGCAGAGCACAGCAAAATATTCTGTTCTATTCTTCTCCCATTCTCCAGACCTTCCTAACAAACAGGTCAGCTACTTGGCTCACACCCAAGTCTTACCCACAAGGGTTTGCTCAAAGATGTCCCTCAGTCATCTGGCATGAGCAAACCCCAGGCTTCTTCCTCTCCGAGCAGCAGAGTGGGTGAAAGCTTTCTTTGATTTATGAAGACTATTAACAAACAAACACGGGGGTTCAGAAGCTTCCTCAAGCAGAAGAGCACAAGTAGAAAGGTTTTTTCCTGAAGTAGCAGCTATAAATAGAACACTTACAGGAAGTAGAGTTCATTAAGTGATAAAGTGGTGGCTGCAGTGATGAAAGAAGAGTTTTTCCTTTTTTAATTTATACATCTATTTAGCATTATGTTTTCTTGCTCCTTAGAGTGCTAAAGCAGTGTTTATCCAGGTGAGGAAAAGATGATTTCCCTTTCTGTAGTGACTTAAACATGTACCTCAAACACAACCAAGTCAAGAGTTTTAAACAGACATTGCCAGCTAACAAAATACAACATTTGACAGCATTATTTGCCTTTTATATGCTCTTTCCACCATGGGAAATGGTATGCCATCTTCAGCACACATTCCACAGTATTATGCAACAGCTTTCTTCATTTTTCATAGATATATTATTTTTAACATGTTAACTTCTGCATAAAGCATTTTAGTATTTTATTCAGCATATACCATTAATAAATTATTTGCCCCTTCTGCCCCTGCATTCCCCCCCCCCAAGCTGTACTTAGCATAGGGAAATGGTCTGCTGGCACTAACAGGACACTCAATGGCACAGTCTACAGACACCTTCATCATCAGACAAAGCACCATGAGCACATTCCCATTCCTACTTAGTTGACAAGCTGGCAGCACTGAACACTGTGTCCAGGAGTTTCATCACAAACCATCCCCTGGTGAAAAGATGGACATGCATGTAGAAACCAGCTGTCATGAAAATAAGCCAGTACCCTGTACAACCAGTGATTCCTGTCAAAAGTGTTCACTCTTGGCCCCATGGCTCCAGGGTCCTTTAGTCACCACATCCAAATGGTTTGGTACACCAAAGGAAATGAGGGATGGAGCTGCTTCTGTGCCAGTGAAACTTGTCCACCTGACCTGAGTTTGTTCAGAGGGCACACGTCTCTCATCTCAGCAGATCTGCCCATTCTATAAGGGCAAAGAATGGATGAGATTTGATGTCTTCAACACCAGCAACGCCAGCACCAAGACGCTCCGTGGGATTAAACTGCAGAAGCTTGAAATAAAAAGAAAAATATATATACAATATTCAGTAAGAAGAAAAACAACTGCTTAAAAGTTCCAGAAAGGTCTAAGGTAAGGGACATCCTGCTGTTTTCCTGCTTTATGAATTACTTTCAAGAGAGCAAAAGCATACTTGAAATTCCTAAAATCCAGTAAATGGAAGAAGACTCTCCTTTCCTTGAGTCTCAGTGCTAGTCCTCAGAGACTACTGATGGCAGGAGGCAATTCCCTGAAGCACTGCACATTGGCACTTCCTTGTAAGTGTCACCTCAATCTAAAAAAAGAGACCAGCAGCCAGAGCCTGCACTGCTAGAACTCTGGACACTGCATTGCTCCATGTTAACCTCTACTCCTACCACTGCATTATGGCTACATCAGGGACAGTGGTCTGTAACTTTCCATCTCATAAACTGCCAGTCAGTCCTAAAATATCAGGATATTACAGCCAGTTCTCTATTTCCTAAAGAAAAAAGAAAAAGTTTTAAAGAGTCCTGCAAATGGACTAAAACCAAAAAAATCAAAACCCCAGTGAAAGAAACAAAGCAGCGTAACAGCCTCACGGAAATTTCCTAGAATTCAGCACCTGATTTGCTTTTTAGTTGTACATCACATGCTGGATTCATGTGAGAAGGAAATCACAATATTTACATCTGTTTAAAGATACCAATCCATATAAAAGGGAATGCAAAGGTAATACTCCAAAGAGCCTAATACAGACACACAAAAATATTTTGCTGGTTTAGAGGACTGTTTATGCCCTGCTCAGTTACAGCCAGTACAAAGGCAGGACTTCTTCCTTGCCTTCCTGCTGCAGCTAATGGGATAACTTCTCCCAGTTGTCACTTGGAACAATGTGTATTCATATCTTAATGAAGTCAACATCTAAGTGAGCCTACATCCATAAACACAGGAATTTACACATTTTAAGGTGGCTCTGCTCTTTGTAGTCATAATGTCACACAGTAAAGGCAGCTTATGACAGTGAATAGTGCTGCTGTGATATCTTCCATGAGCCAGCAGAATCAGATGCAGCCAGAGCCTCTCTACCTTCTGCTGAAGTAGAACCACTACCAACAGGGGGGAAGTTAAGCACACTTATTTGTCCTTCCAGAAGAATTTTAATCTTAGAAAGGAACTGCAACACAAACTTAGCTAGATTACCTATTGAAAAGTCATGTTGCACATTTTGCTGGTAGTGAAAAAGATGCAGGGTGCAAAATACCAAACCAACACAAAAATAACAACTTCATCTTACAACAGAAATAAACAGATCTCAGTTTTCTTAGAAGCTGGCTAAATGACAGAAGCGTTTCACAAGGAAGTCACCTGCACTGGAAGCCACAGCAGGAGACAACAATTGACACAAATTTTCTGTATAGCTGAACATTGATCCCAGAGAGCTATTCTGTGATGCTTTGACCTGTTTACCCTTGGCAGTTGGGGGAAGGGAAGTCACAATGACAAATGGCTATCCATGCCAAGAGAGCTTTCTTCCTTTTCCTGACAAGGCTTCCTCAACAATGAATGGCAGCTTCCTTGGATAGTCACACAACAAAAATGTGATTTACTAGCTTATATAGCTGAACCTCCACCAGATAAGTCACCACCCCACACTAGAAGGCTTAACCTAACAAGCACTGGTGTGACTGTTCTCTGAACAGATGTGGCCTTACAATACATCTGCAAGTAGCAGAGATACATTTGCCACTTAAACTGTAAATGGCAGGAGAGCCACTCTTTGGGATGTTTGGAATAGGCAATACATTAGTCTTCAGTGAAGAACAATCCTACATTGGCTGGGAGAAATGCACTGGATGACTTCGTTTGTCTTCACTTCTAGTCTTAATGGGAGGAATTCCTTTCATCAAGTGTGTTTTTGCTTTCCCCTTGGCCCTCTGAGTTCTGTAGAACCTGTGGGTGAGGGTAACAATTTGCTACCATCTCATGATATCAATGTAGATCATACAAAAATGGAATTTTGCTTTTCTCACTTCCCTTTCTACCAGAACCACACAGACACGTGGTTTTACATTCAGCGACTTCAGGTCACCAGGTCAAAACAGGAGGTCCAAACACCTAGTTCCATTTCCATTAATCAATTCACAGTAAGGACACAGAAATCCATCGGTTACTGGATCTTTGGCTCACTGAATTTCCAAAATTTTCTTCAAGAACTACTACTTTTTTCTTCATTTTCTTCAAGAACTACTTTCTCCACTCTGTTCCAATCTACATCTAAGTGATGTCATTATTCATGCATCCACCAGCAAGATATTCTTCAAAGCCAAAAAACACAGATCCCATGTACCCCTTATTCTCCTCAGGTCAGATGGAGGCTCCACTTCCTCAGCACTACCTGAAATTCAAGACCTTTTACTAGAAGTTTATTTTCCCAGTCATGACTTCCTCAAGCTAAGAGTAAACCTAAACCCAGCAGTCAATAGTATTCCCATTACTCTGAAACTGGTGTATCAGTCTGGAAGATTATCTACATTTTGAGGTTTCCTACTCTCTTTTTGAACGTACCATTTATCTTATTCCAGGAGTCATTGTGCTCACAGTTCACGGTACTTTTCTTAACAAATGGTGTCCAGAAGGTCTTCTGGAGGACAGCTAGAGATTTTCAACCACAGCAAGGTCATAACTTCTGATCAGTGTGTTAAAGGTTCTATAGTACTTAGAGCTATCTTGCTGAATTGGCATCGACATTTTTTAGTTTAATTAAATTCATTAACAGTACCTCTATGAACATTTATGACACAATTCCTAAAATGTTGGTGCATCACCAGCAGGTGTTGCCAAAGCACTCAGCATTCACCAAACTTGTTCTTTGAAGAAATGGCAAAGCACTCTGGTTTTCTGCAGAGACACCTGACAGCAGAAGTCAAGGTTCCCAGACGCAACAAGACAGCTGGGCAAAATTCACCAGTGCTGACAAAAGACCCACCCATGTTCCTATCAGCAGCTTTCTGCTTTTTATGCTTACTTCACTGGAACAACTTAGGCAAATAAGTATTTGTCCACTCCAGACATGTACCTATAGAGGACAAATTTGCCTCTCCATTACCTGCTGAATCAGTGATCTGGCCTCCTTTGACACATGGTCTGGTATACTCAAAGAGGTGTGAGTGTTAATTCCTGATGGGTGGCATTCAACCAGAGCCTAGTGGGGAAAAAAAAAAAAAGGCAGGCATTTATTAATTAAAAAATTGTAGTGATGGATTATCTCCCAGTATACACATAAGTTAACACACACAGCTAAAACTTCAATGCTTCCTAGTAAGAGGAACTGATTCTAGGAGGAATGTCCACAGGCATTGATGTCCCCCTGGAGACAGGGGTTTAGAACCTTTACATCTTAGCACTTGGGCCCTATTGCTTAAACTTGAATAGCCTCAGAATTTGGTGGACTTCACTTCCACCAGAACTGTCAGTTAATGACCACTTTGATTTGGCTGAGCACTCTTTTTTTCAAAATACAAAAGGCAGGCATTTATTAATTAAGAAATTGTAGTGATGGATTATCTCCCAGTATACACATAAGTTAACACACACAGCTAAAACTTCAATGCTTCCTAGTAAGAGGAACTGATTCTAGGAGGAATGTCCACAGGCATTGATGTCCCCCTGGAGACAGGGGTTTAGAACCTTTACATCTTAGCACTTGGGCCCTATTGCTTAAACTTGAATAGCCTCAGAATTTGGTGGACTTCACTTCCTTCATGCAGAACTGTCAGTTACTGACCACTTCAATTTGGCTGAGCACTCTTTTTCTCAAAATACCAAACTAATGTGTAACAGTTTCTACAGAGTCCCAGGAAATACTACTAAAACTATTAGGGCAAAACTTTTGTAACTGTACAGAAGGAACATTAAAGAACTTTAATTTCACTGTGGTTAAGAAGGTAGCAGGAGTTTTGGTTATTTTTTCAGTCCTGAGTTTGACACAGCTTTATTAAGTTGTTCTGCTGAAGCTTGGGCATGTTTCATTTCTCTGGTCCCATGCAGACCAAGCAAATTGAGGGTACTCAGGTCAGCAAAGCACACCTGAGAAAGACAAGCAAGGAAATCACAACTGGGCACACCACTTGTGAGAAACCACTGGCCAAGAGGTCAGTCTTATCAAGTCACTTGCTCTCAAGCCTTACCTTCCCAGTGAGGAGTTCAAAAAGAATGGCACCCAGGCTCCACCAGTCACAGGCTTCTGTCTCTTCCAGGATAGCACCAACCTCTAAACATGAGACATTTCAATTAATATTAAAAAGGTCAGTTACACCTTCAAAATTAACATATATTTGCAAGGTGACTGTTTAATGCTGACAGAACATATACTAAATACCATGGAGCTTTCACTATGCCTGCAATTTAGTTAGCCCTTTAGCCACCTACATATTGCATTGTTCAAACACAGCAACACTATACATTTCATGCATAATTTGCTTCTTCTGTGCATACACAGGCATTTTCAAGACTTGCAGGTGTTACAGGTAGGATTCTTCAATGCCAGACTAGAACTAGACAGTGACAATAAAGCAGAACATATTTAGAGAATTTACCCTGGTTGGAAGAGCTGGACTGACCAGAGCATCCTGAAACAGCCATAAAAGCAGCACAAGGGAGGCTGTAGCAGCCTTAATTTTGTCTTAGAGGACTTGCCTCATGGCTAACACACACCCTTTGCTAGGATCACCATGGGAGGCTTTTCACAATAACCTGTCTTGTCTGTTGGAAATCAGACAGAGATGCTAAATCTACTTCACATCGCCTAACCACAGCCAGCAACTGTACTGCTATAGCTCAGCCCAAATTGCACCTAGGTATAAAAAGTTGTTTCCACCCATCATCCAGCCAGCACCTAACACACTCATATTGGTGTCCATGCACAAGAGACAGCAAAAATGCGAGACAGGAGTTGAAAGTCCCTTGCCATGCACAACTCATGTCCTCAATAGCATGAAACATGCAGAAAACGTGCATGCCTTCACTGACTCAGGCTTTAAACTACAAAAGTTACTAAAAACACACCACGCTGTCTGCTCTAAAACAGGCAGAAAACCAGATCGCAATGAAGATGAAATCTACATTTTGACTGTCAAAAAAAAATGCAGAAGCTGCACTAAAATAGCTTTGGTGGCAAAAGTCACACCAGCTTCCCAGCAGAGGACAGCGATTAGCATATAGTCACAGTTGTTGCTATGAAAAGCATTGTGGCATGTTTGAAAAATCTTGCTCATCATTTTATGGAGCTTAGCATGAGCACGGCCAAGGAGAACTACAGATGAGTCACATTCCAGGGTCAGGGAAAGGAAGGTGGTAGCCCCAGACCTCACCAGATGCAGAGATACACACAGAGGAGCTGAGCATGGGGATGTGCAGAGGGCGACCTACTTGGGCAGCTGCCACACAACCTGAAAGATGCTCAGCAACTTGTAAGAGGTTGAGGCTGCTGCTGTAAGAGCACCAAGGAAGGATGGCTCATACATTGTTTCTTTAGGTAGGACATCACTTGCATTGAAAAGTTTATTACAGTTAATGGTGTCTGAATGCCAAATACATCACTATAAGGGTGCCACACATTAGAATTTATTCCATTCCTTACAGATTAATACTTCTATCAGCACTGATAAACTGTATCAGCATATGTCCTGGTCTGGGGTAAAACAGAGC